AAGTTCAGTCTTTGACTAGGATTTCATGCATGATCACTAGTGGCAATGACTTCACCAAACATTTGATATGCGTTCTCCTCTAATTTCTGGCCCATGCAACTAAATATTAATTTTTTCACGTTTGGCATGACCTATACCTTACAGAAAATAAGAAATGTTAAATTACTGCATGGTTTAACGTAAGTGTGCGTAATAGTCTCACTGAAAACATAATTTCACCTCAAGACTTTCTTTCCACCATTATTCAAATGCATCAATAGTTCGCTTTGTGTTCTCTTTGTGTGATCCCAACAAAGACATGTATCTCCTCGCTTTAATACTTTCCATAATTTTCAATCCATGTTTAATTAATCCCACTTACCCTCTTGCCACGAGGTCTTGCACTTGTCGCTATAGTTTTTTATACTCCGCAGGTCTTAATCTGTATGTTGGTCGATTTAATAATACAAATCCTAGTATAAGGTCGATGTCATGTTGAATGTCCCTTAATGGTAGTAATCCCTCTGTTAGTTTGTCGGTCATAACATTCTGAAAGTCCTGTACTAACACCTGCAGTATTGTTGGTATCTCTCTTTCCCCCTCGCTTCCTTTTACGACTAATGTGAGTGTTACGGGGTATCTCTAACTACCTAAAGAAAAGTGGTCCGGGAAACTAATGTCGCCTTCGTATTATTCCCGTCTTTAGCATCCTTAGCAGGTAGTAAAATGATATTTTTTCCATCCTTATTTGAATGAATAAGTGTTCTTGAACCCATCGTGTAAAGTCTTGCGATCAAACAGCCAAGGCCTACATAACAGAATTTGGCAAATGTCCTTAGGAACCACATCACACCATACTTATTCATATAGTTGAATCAACTAGGTACTGTTGATCTACACGTATCTTGTTTCACTTCTTCAGACAGGAAAACGAATATAATCGGGGATGCTTCTGTGTGTCCAATCCTAACTTTTTTATCATAAGTGTGGACACCAGGTTCTCGCAGCTACCATTATCAATGATTAGGCTGCAGACCTTCCCCTTGATGGTGCGCTTGGTGCGAAAAATGTTATGCCTTAACCAGGACTGGTCCTGCTTGGGTTCGGACCAGTATTCGTCGGGTGACTAACGCTTCTGCTTCGTCTTCGTGGAGCTAAAGCTCTTCTTCTGAAATCTCCTCTAATTCCTCGTCGAATTCCTCGATGGTGCCTTGATCAGTGAGTGTGACGACTCGACTTGTTGGGCAACTAGAGGTTATGTGACTATAGTGGTGGCACCTAAAACACTTCATAATCGGCACTGTATTTGAGGAACCACTTTTCTCTGGCTTCTTCCCACTCTGATCTCCCTTATCAACTCCTTTTTCGATTATGTTATTTACTCTTGAGGCACTCTTATCGGCTGTAGAAGTTGCATGTAACTACTTGGCTGAAGGTGGTGATCTGAAGGTCGACTGTTGCCTGGTTTGCTTCTACTGTCTTTTCACCTTCAAAGCTAATGTACGAACATCCCCCAATGTCCAGTATGGCTGTAGTTGTACCACATTGCCAATGAAGGGCCTTAGACCCCTAAGACATCTGGCGATCGAGTGCTCCTCTAGCTCTGTCAACTCGCATTTCAGCAGCAGTGATCGAACTGAGTCATAAACTCTTCAACTGATAGATCTCGTTGCTGCAAATCGTGGAGTTTCAGGAACATGTCCTAACAATACTGCGGTGGGAGGTATTTCTTCTGCATTACTTCTTCATCTATCTTCTCTCACTTAGTTATATTCTCACTTCCTTCTCTCATCCTCGGTTTTTGTAGATTTTCCCACAATGAGGAGGCATTCTTCTTTAGTTTAGTTACAACTAGCTTAACTCGTTTGCCCTCTGGTACGTCTATACTCGAAGATTCGTTCGACTGATTGCCGCCAGTCAATAAACTCATCGAGACCCATGCTCCCTGAAATTCTAGGAGGTTTATTTTGACGTCAAAGCCCTAAACCCAATCCCCTCTGTCCTACATAAGAGATCTCTTCTATCAACCTCCTATGATATTGGATATCAAAACTACGTGGCCAATATTCTTCGTCGTTGTGATCTTCCCTGTGGAGCGGATTAAGATCCTCGTCTCTACCTTTCCCATGACTCTCTCGATCACGGTCGAAGGTAATCTCTTCCTACTTCTCGTCATCCAGCTCTGCTAGTCTCTGTTGTAGATGACGGATTTCCCATTGAATGTCTTCCCGGGTCGAGTTCGGCGTACATCTTCATGATGGCATGGCTATGGTTGGAAATTGGAAGGAAACAATTTGGTGGGGGTGGATTGGGTAGGGGCAAATGCAGGAACCCTAAAATAGAACTAGCTCTAATACCAAATAATATTGAAACTAGTAGGAAGAACAGTGGAACATAAAAACAAACTTTTATCAATGGAGAAATAGGATTACAATATAACTCAAATAGAAAGAAAATACAATAATAAGTGAATCCCCCGATTAGGAAGGTAGAAAGATGTTTGAAAGTGGTGAGGCCTCGATGGGGTGATTGGATAAAATGAGAGATGTCGGGGGGTTGTTTGAGTAGTTATGATGG